GATGAAGACGGAGAGCGTGTAAGGTGGGCTGCTTTGCTGGGTCCACCGACTGCTTCGGAGGATGTCGCGGCTTCTAGGTCTGCTGGTACTATTCATATCGTAGAAGAAGAAGTCAGGGAGGAAGATCAAGACCAGCTAGATCCCTCCACGCTCCTCTACCAGGACTCGATTGCTTAGCTCCAAATTGAGTCTGTACTGAGTCGTTCTTGTGCTCCTTTTGGCTTGCTACACAAATGTACCCGGAAGTATGCGCTGTGCTCTGTTCTGATTGCTGATTATACGAAAGCTCACAAATACCTTTGGAGTGTGCCGTGGTGTCAGATGTACAGAGGTTCTCGTGAGTGCAACAAGGTGATTGCAATACAGTAGAAGTCCAAGTAACTACTCCATTCAGCTAGCCGCTTAGTAACGGGCAAACAATCTTTTGAGTAGTGCATGCGTCAGAGTCAAAGTCGGAGATATGCGGAGTGCTCGTCATTTACAACAAACGTGAGCGGAAGATATGCTAGAATGAGATGACGTTCACATGTCTTAACCGCGAAGGAAGAGGCGACGTGGAGGTAGAGTGGGTCACTCCTAAACGACATCCTCCGTTCCGAGGCAATTCTTCCCCAGATGCCGCCGATGATACCTCCAACCCAACCCCTTTCTTGACATGCAACCGCCATAGCTACCCGGCGCCTATACTACACAACAGGCAGTTTATGACCCAGTCCCTGACGCCGCGTACAGAAACTTCGCATTTGCCACATTTCATCCACCAATGACAGGGCAACAACTCCGCGGTAGATCGCCGGCAGATGCTATTAAGCCTCATCAACCCCATAGCGCCGATGGATGATGCTGGTTGAGACACGGCTACCTGGAATCTGGTGAAGGCGCACCAATACATGACGCAAAAGTTTGCGAGGTGGACCGTCGGAGGGAGTTGACGCGCGGAGGCGGCTACCAAACCTGGAGATTGTGCCGTCTGGGGCCTCGGTGACGTCTCCGACCACCCCTCCATCCCGCCTCCGATAACTTTTTCCCCAGACAACGTTTAAAAGTCCAGAACACCCGCAGTCGAGGCCATCACAAACTCTTTACTTTTTCTCTCTATACCCCAAACAACTCAATTGCAATCATGTCTCTCGGAAGGAAGGTTACTCTCAACACTGGCGCTGCCATTCCGTGAGTACCTAAACAAACACCCCGCGGATACATGGCGGCTGCTAATAGTTACAGCCAACTTGGTTTCGGAACATGGCAGGCCGAGCCTGGTCAGGTCGGCGCCGCTGTCCTTGAAGCTCTCAAGGCTGGTTACCGTCACCTAGATCTCGCCAAGGTCTATGGCAACCAGAAGGAGATCGCTGAGGCTCTCAAGAAGGCCTTCGGCGGCGAGGTCCCTAACCTCAAGCGTGAGGACGTCTTCATCACATCCAAGCTCTGGAACTCCCAGCACCGACCCAAGGACGTCCCCGGCGCTCTTGACGACTGCCTGGCTGAGCTTGGCCTCGAGTACCTAGACCTTTACCTCGTCCACTTCCCCGTCGCTTTCGATGAGCGTGGCGATGTACACAACAACCTCTTCCCTCTGGAGGGCGAGGACGTTAAGATGCTCGACGACATCTCCATTGTCGACACATGGAAGGCCATGACACAGCTGCCCAAGGAGAAGGCGCGTGCTGTTGGTGTCTCCAACCACACAAAGGAGCACCTCCAGGCCCTCATTGACGGCACTGGTGTCACTCCCGCTGCCAACCAGATTGAGCGTCACCCGCGTCTCCTCCAGCCAGAGCTCATCCAGTACTGCAAGGAGAAGAACATTCACATCACCGAGTACTCCGTAAGTTTCTTCATACCATGCAGGCTGACATATACTAACACCACTCAGGCTTTCGGTAACAACATGATCGGCGAGCCCCTTCTCGTCCAGCACAAGGTCATCAAGGAGATTGCCAGCCGCATTGGCGCCACCCCCGCACAAGTTATCCTCGCCTGGGCCCAGAAGGGTGGCCACTCCGTCATCCCCAAGTCCGTCACCGCATCCCGCATCCAAGAGAACTTCAAGGAGGTTGAGCTGTCAGAAGACGACTTCCAGAAGGTTGAGCAGATCGGCAAGGATGAGCCTCGCCGCTTCAACATCCCATACATCGCCAACAAGCCCCGCTGGCCGGTCAACATCTTCGGCGAGCCCGAGGAGAAGGATGCGCCCCACAAGGTTATTGTTAAGGTCTAGATAGATGATTTGGCCAAAGAAGCCTAAAACGAATACATAATGAATACCCCTGTTACAACAACTTTATTCTGATATTTGAAGTTGATGATTGACTTGATGTATGTGCTCAAGTACGACCAGAGTTCTCGAAAAGATTTGATCCTGCGACACCGATGATACCATCAAGCTATACGAACATTTGAGCAAGAGTGACCCTTGTGCTTGCTACGCTTCGTATGCATGCACCTGCAGGGATACTTAGGTGCGCCAGTAGATGGGTAAGCTCTTGGATCAGAATAAGAAGTTGAGATTATTCTATTGAACTACGTACAGGTGCCCTATCTATAGGCATATCTAACAAAGAGAGAGGAACAATTAGTTATACTGCTTGTTCCGTACAAACTGATTGTACATGAGATGGAAGCTGATAGAATCCAACATAAGCTAAGCTAAATGCGGTGTTGCAATGTTATTCTACAACAACATCATGCTCCGATTTACAACACTGTCGCAATATCGCAACGTATATTGTATGCCTTGTCACGGTCTGTGTGATGACACCTCTAACGATACCTCTGTTAAGTGATCGTAGGAGCCTAAATTCATTTTATACTATCTGGCGACATGAGAGACCCTGGTGGATTATGTTGAGCCGATTACGATGCGATTGATCATTTTCAGAAGTCGCGCGTTCATTGAACATCTCTTCAGCTCGTGTCATTCGCTTACACACCGTGCCATCTGTTCGCGTACCAAGAACATAATGGGATTTGGCTGCGTCGGCATCGTCTGAAATCTTCTTTTACCTGCACGACTACGCCTCGCTGACAACGCGCGCGCGACTCTTGAAGCAAGATTGTAGGACCTTTATCCTCTTCCCCTACTCGCTAAGCTGACAGGCGAACATTCTGAACAGCTTTGAAGGACACGACGTTCACTCTTGCTCGATTCCTATCACTACATTCACTTCGGTACAAGTCATCGCTTGTAACTCAAAGATCGACTAGACCTTTTCCAATCCCAACAATATCGCAACTTCGCCTCGACAGACAAAAATCTCTACGCCGCTGCTCCACCGATACGATGCCTTTACTCCATAGCACTAGAGCGCCGAACGAGCACCTTATCTTCGTCAAGAACGTTCCCGGCTACTTTGCGACTGACGAGATTCGCAGTCTGTTCGCCAAATATAATCCAGCAAGCATCAAGAACGTATACCCCAACAGCAATGTCACTACGATTGTCATCGGCTTCCGCACAAAGGACGAAGCGGCGCGCGCTCAAGCGGAGACAGACCAGGCCCGCTTAGCGCATGTCGTGCTAAAGGTAGAGACGTACAACCAGAAGCAGTCAGTGAGATACCTGAGGGACCAAGGACAAGTCACTCGGCCGCGAGGTGCTGCGCAAGAAAACGAAGCGCAGTACTATGACGAGGAGCCGATACAAGAAGAGGGACCGGTCTTCACTCCACCCATGGAACCGCACATTGCGAAAGATTCCACTGCTGCGCCGCAGGGCACTACTTGGGCTGATGTCGCTGGCAATCGATGTGCTCTGGTCCATGAGGCGCCTACTATGCTCGAGGTCGGGAGTCCAACCACTACAGAATCCACACCCATATCCACACCACGCATGCCAATAGTTGTCCCACAGAAGCTCTTCGCGCCAGGCCTTGAGCATAAAAGCTCGCAGCGCCCACCCCCGGAAGTCGTTTCGTTAGGCTACAGCACTCCAGAAGCCCTCGCTATCCCACCAGCTCTCAGTTCCCACAGTACCGACACATACTCTACTGACGAGATCGAAGACCGGATTAGAAAGCTCGGCAATATTCCAGACTGGATGACAATCGCACAGTGGGCAGATGATAGCAGTTGCCGAGAACACAAACCTTTTCCAACAGAGCCTCTCGATACCACGGCGCGCATCCGGGCGAAGCACTGTCGAAACTGCGCATTTTGTCAGCTAAGAGATCGATACTAGGTCCAACGACGCTCGAGAGTTGGCAATATCTTGGTGAGGGGATGGATATGTTACTTCGACTTGCGCTGGAAAGTTGATGGAGTTGGGAGTTTTGGTGCTACGACGGAGATGCTCAGTGGATGTTTTCGGATCTTTGTAGAGTAGTCGCTCCAGCAAAAGAACCAAAAGATATTTCGATCATCCAAATTATACATGTGGTTCCCATGCGGACAAAAAGTATATTTGGCGCGACCAAGTCACTGTGTTCAAAAGTTGCTGTGCCTACATCAGATTGAAATGAAAAACAGTTGCCAGGATATCAAGAAAGCATTGCATCATGTTGTGACACAGACGCGACACATATAGGTTTATTGGATCGACGTCATAGCGGTTTCGGTTCGCGTTAGCGTGGAGGCATGGTCCGTCCAACTGGGATTCTTCGCCGTCGTCAACCTTCATCCTTCTCTTTACACTGGCCATCGAATAAATTCATCGCATCTAGCCATTCACGTAAGATCATCTCGCTGGTACAAGGGTTTTCTATTGCTAAGCTGAGTTGCTTTTCATGAGCCCTTTCATGAGGGAGGGGAAACTAATGTGAAGTCATGATGAGTCCCTGGAGGCATGCTGAAAGAGGCTACCAAAGTGAACTTTTGGTACCACCACCTTGTACTTCCATCATCGCTAGGTCTGGAACACCTAGATCGCTATGCATGCGATAACCCAACTCAGCTCCGCGATATGGCGGGTAGCAAGTCGACATACGTCCGGACATGTGCGAGAGTCGTTGTTATTGGACTCATTACCCAGAATCCCTGGCAACATTTGTAGGTTGCGATATTCTTCATACGGAGTTTAATCTCAACGAGCGCGCGGATTCAACGTAACCTGGACAGTTCGCCCGTTCTCCATGCTGCAGAGGCTCAGCAGCGTTGAGGTAGCCGTCTGGGGGTGGTGAGGGCGCTTCGGATCCAAGCCCACTATCGACGAACTGCTCAAAGGCTGTGTGATTCGATATGTCTTTCGCATCTAACAAATTAGGACTTGGGAATCCCGTCTGCTCGACTTCGGTAGGAGGGTTAGGGACGGCAGAGTCGACCAATCGTGCTGCCTCAAGCTTTTCACGCGCAACTCGAAGCTTCTCAGTCTTAGATCGGTGGCACATGTCGAGCCAGGCCAGTTTCGAGGATTGGTCAAGCTCGCCGACAACGAACATACCCTTTGTAGCCCGGATGGTCTTCGATTCGTTCAAACTGACGAGCGAGATCCCGTCGCCTGTTAGCGGATGCTTGCACCAACCGACGCTGAGCACAGGAAGATTACGAACATTAGAAGTGTTCTTTCCATCTGGATAGAGCAACCGTACTGTCTGGGTGAGCTGTGATGCTGTCAGCTTCTCATCGCCCCGTTTTTCGTGTTGAGTCATTCTCTTGCAATCATAACTCCACGACTCTTTGTTAACGACCTCGATGATCCAGGGCGCTCCCTTGAGGCAATAAAGACCATCGGGAGTTGGAACATAGTCGAAATTCCTGTAAGTAGCAATCTCGTTCGTCGTCTTCTCAGCCGTGATCTCCCAGATGATTGTCCCGGTATCGATCTTGCGGAACTCCTCCTCTGTTACCTTTTCTTTGATCTCGTTCCAGGCTACTATTTTTCCCATTTGTCTGCGCATCTCTATCGGAGATGGCTCAAAAATGCCATGATGAGCGATATCATCAATCAAAGACTCCGACACTGTATTCGCATCCAGTGAAGATATGTTGCTAGATGAAATGGACCAAGTATATTTGCCACGCTTCAGGTGTGTGTAGTCAGATTCCCCCGTCGAAGAACCTGAAATGATAAGTCTTGAACGCCCGGGTGTTATGTTTGCTTCAGGTCTGGTCACTTACGAGGCGTCTTCTTGTCTGGTACCTTCACGTGTTTCCGATGTGGCTCTCCATGTGCCATGTCTTCATTGCCATGTTTTCTCTTCCTCCCTCGGCTCGCCATGTCAAAGCAAGGTGCCTTCGATCAACCAGTCCGGAAGATGTGAGGAGATCGGGAGAAGACAAGTCTCTAAGATCCGCGTCCCGCGTCTTCGAGGTTGTGGGTGTTCGGGACTTGCGCTTAGGTACGAGTTGAACTTGTGGATGAGATGTTGGTTGAGTTGAGGAGATCAACCATCGACGCAGAGATTAGGGCACGACGCATTCCAGCCTTCATGAATCAAGGTGCGCCTGATGCTCTGCCGGTGAAAACGCTGCACATGGTTCTAGTCAGAGCGCCTACAACAGCGAGCGCGAAATATCAGGACATTTAGTGAATCATTCGATAGCCAAAGCTTGGATCATAATCTCTAGCTAACATGGTTGGCAAGCGAGTGAGCCAGGCAAGCGAGTGAGCCACCCCACCAACTTTGCGCAACCTACGACCTCAAATCACTTATGGCTCTACCTACCCCAACTCAAAACGCCTCTCGTGAGGCTGA